ATAATAATAATAATAATAATACATGTAATAATAATTGCATATTTAGCGCATATCCATGCTTGTAAGCCTGTAAGTATTAAAAATGCATTTACTGATAAGTGATAAGTTAGAAGCTTACTCACCATTCACGGAGAGAATTTCCTTTTTATTCTCGTCTTGTTCATTGTTATTGTCGTCCTTATCGAAGCCAGAGTAAGGCGAGAAAGGGGGAACAGTAAATTCTCTGTTGAGGGGAAAATTGAGGCTTCTTCCGCTTTCACCCCTTTCCTCGCTGTCGTCTTTGCTGTTTGATGAATTGTCGTCATCGTTGTCTTCACTACTGTTTGATGAATTGTCGTCATCGCTGTCATCACTACTGTTTGATGAATTGTCGCTATCTTTTGTTGTATCCTCCTCATTACTGTGCGACGTTTTTCCAGTTTCTTTATCTGGGTTTAGCCACTTGTCAAGATTAGCTGCTTCAAATGGTTTATCGTTTACTATCGGCTCCACGAATGTACTGTTGTTATTTCCGTCTCTATCGTCTGGTGTGGCAACATTCTCAGTGACCGCTTTGGGGTCCGTTTTGCTGTTGCGCAGGAAGACGGCGCCGTTGTCTGTAATAATTACGGCGCCATTCGAGTTCTTGCTTCTGCCAGGATAAACTGGAGCCACAGGCATGGGGAGAGGGAGGGAAGGGGACGGCGCCGGGTTACTGGGCTGACCGCTGGGCAGCTGTGGGTCCGTGGGATCGGGGCCCCCTATGTCCCGATCTCTGTCCACGATATAGGTGGGTCTCGATGACATCAGATTGGAAAGCATGTCGTCTACAGTGTTGCCCCCGGCGCGGTCAGTGTTGACTGGTACAACTGCTTGGGGTCTGAAAGGAAGCATACCTGCTCGGTTCCCGTTCGGCGTACCGTCACCGTTGAACATTCTGCTTCTGTCAGCTCCGTTGACGCCTGTTCCAGACTTGTCCACCGGGCTAGGTTTGTATATGGGGTGGTTGGTGCCGATATTGTTTAGTAAGTTGTCAACAACTAGTGTGTCTGGACTTGTGCCGAGCTCTCGGTCTTGTGTGTCGGTGGTGGTGTCGGCCGATCTATCGACATTTTGGGGCGAGGGGGGCAAATAGCGGAGATAGAAAAGATTTGACAGACGGTGAGCGCTGGTGTGTGCCAGAAGAGCGATGACCAGAAATAGCAAGCAGGTCTTCATGTTCTTGGGCATCATTTTGTGAAATTGAATTAAAAATGACAATTTACAGCCACACTTAAATACAGCAGAAAAAAAAAGTGTATGTCTCTTAAAAGGCTGGTTTCCACACAAGAAGGAATAAATAATTGGTGAAACTGTTCTGAATTTTTATCACAATTTCCGAACAAAAATACTCAACACGACGGGAAATGTTCTTGGTTCCGTTTCAATCAAGAAACCGTATCAATAACAATGCCACACGACGTCGACTGGAGTTCTTTTCGTTAACTTATATAAGTCAGCTCTTTGGGGGTTCTTTTACTTATTTCTTCTTCACGTCTCCGAATTTCTTAAATATATCTAATACACATATGGACTGCCGCAGGGTTTAATGTTCAAATTCTTTCGTCTTAGTATGTCACTCTTTAGTTATAAAGCACTTTTATATTGTATAACGGGTTGTTTCAGAATCTTGAAAAAATTGCACCATCAGACTAGAAGTTTCCAGTGCTGTCTTCGTTCACGGTGTTACAAAGTCCTTTAGTGTGTGCAGCGTCGCAGTTCTCGTAGCTCTTAGCCAAGTCACCGAAGGGGCTTCTATTTAAATCCAGGGTCTGATCTCACTCGGTGGTCCCCTTTGCCTCCACCAATCCCATGACCGGGCGCATCCTTGCGGTTTGAGAATTACGTCATGCGCTGAGGACGTGGGTGAATGGCATCGCTGTCGCACGCGACGTCCGGCCCTATGAAAGGTGTACCGGTGACGTCAATTTTTTTTCTTTTCTTTTCTTTTCTTTCCTTTCCTTTTCTTCTTTTTTTTTTGGTTGAAATCTGGCCACAAGGTACCCCTTTAAGTTTTTAGGAATCTATAATGCAGTTGTTTTTTGTCTGTTATTTTCTTAGTGAGAGGGGGGCGGGGGTTCGTTAATGGATTATAGCCAATGAGGAGACAAACGAGAGAGAGAGAGAGAGAGAGGGAGAGAGAGAGAAAGAGAGAGAGAGAGA